CGATTTAAATGCTTTTCTCTATAAATTTATTAAAGAGACAATCTATAAAGGATCCTATCAGCATTACCTGTTTGAAATAAGAAAAATACCAACAACAACACAATCACAACTGCAACATTGAATCAGTTGAATTTACCCAACGCCGCTGCTTTCTGAGATGCAGTCATTTCAGCCTGTGATAAATATACTGACTAATGATTAAGAGTTGACCTTATATTCCTGGTAATTAAAGATGAATACATAATGACCAATTATCAGTTAGTTTACATAACACTCATACAATAAAGGCAAACGAAAGATGGCTGCAGAAATTACATTTGATAATTTGCAAGCCATGCTTAATTGAGACAGCCAGCTTCATTCACGTCTCAGGGATGGGAGGTAATTGTTGTGAACGGTCCAAGGAAAACATCATTAGTGGACGATGCCGTGTCATATTAAAGTGTTTTTCCAACAAACAGTGGTGCAAATAGAAGTGAGAGGGCTCAGGGGAAAAGTGGCTTACAATGTCAGTCATTATGTTTACATTGTTCCCCTTCATCCCACCCAGAGGCTGAGAGTTTTTCTAATCAGAAACAGATTTCACCAATCTCTCAGACAATGTGCTAAGTGGCTGCACACATGGCTTCAGCCTTTAGTTTCAACTCTAAAATTCAGCTTAAAAGGGTTAGTGTTAGGGTAAGGGTTTGCACCATGAGCCAGAGGACCTAACAATGTGTGTGTGATGTTGCACATCTGTCTTTGTGACATTCTATTTCGGCTTGGACTCACTTTGACTGACCTTTCAATGAACTGTTTTAAACATTTCCTCTTAGCATTTTTTTTTTCATTTGATAGATAGTCAGCAGTAGAGAGATGACATTAAGTGAGATGAATAAGAATTAACTAAGAAAGAAGCAGCACAGGTTCTTGGTTGGCAGCTCAAACCCCTGATCACACCACAGGTGGTTTAATTTATAATAACACATCAGTTGTAAAAAGGGAAATCACTGTATAGGATTCTTGAATAAATGTGGAAAGACTTTACATAGTGCTTTACATAGGCAGTTAACTAACTTCAAGCATATATTTTCTCACTGATTGGCAGATACAGTTCTATGGCATTAAATACTCACTGACATTTGAGCTATTTTCACACAAGACTGTCTGATGTTCTCTGTAGAAGGGCAGAGAATCATCATCAAGAAAGAGTCAAATTGTTTTAATGACTATGATGCTGGATGTGAGCTGTCTGTAATTGCTGTTTATACATAAATTCCACAAGAGGATTGTTTTTCAACAGAAGATTCTGTGGAATATACTGTTGGTCTGCAGCACTGTTTTTGCTGTTGTTGTTTTGTTTTTTTCAGGGGGGGATGGTCATATTCATTGTGATAATATTCGTAAGCCTGTGTAACCTTAAAAAAACAGGTCTTACATGAATAAGCATGAAAAAGCCTTTCTTCACTGCATTAAAGATTCCAGAGGCCTTCCAGCTGTATTCTAAATAATGGGCAGTTGACCAGGTAAGTACTGTAAGAAATCATGAGTAAATTTAAGTTTGCTGGTTTTATACAGGCACTTCTAGAACATCTATAGAAATGTTCAGGGCTGCAATATCCAATTGGAAACAAATTGTGGTTAGTTTTGGATTATACTTTTATCTGGGTTCAGTGAACTCAACCAAAGGTTGTCATTAAATATGACTTAATCAGACACAAATTCCTGCTGTTTAAGACATCTTAAAAACAATTTCCGATTACTTTTTATATATCAAGGACAACATAATCTAATCCATACAATGTTGAAACCGAGGGGCAGTTTTAGCTATTGGCATATATGTTGTGGCCTATCTTTCTGCCTCATATTACTCATCCTTTCAGAAGAATTCAAATCTTGTCATCTCTGCAAAGAATCATTAATCATAATGACACATCCGGCATAGTTCTTGACCTCAAAATCTGAGAATTTATCAGAGGGATTTCATGATTAATTTACGATTGAGGTCAAGAAGACATAAAGTACAAGTAAACACAGCTGAATCCCCAAGTGAAATATGTGGTCTGATTTAAGGGAAGCCAATCAAAAGAAATCATGCGGCTGAATAAATGTAATCAACACTAAAAAACAGATGTGGAATGAAAATTATGTACAAACACTGAAAAATAGGAGTCTGTTTAAGTTACTTGTTGTAAGTGTTTGGTTTTCTTTCAGTAAATGTAAAATGCAGTAGGATCATAACAAGAGCTCCTTTTTGATGTTTAACTTCACTGTAAGAGATGCGGCATGTGGTGCCTGTGGTCATAGAAAAGTGGTGAAGTGAGGATCTGAATTGAACACAGTCTTGAGTTGTACTTGAGCCAACAGCATGGGAGGCTTATTGTAATGACCTCCACACTCTCCATTCCAGTGCTGCCCTCTGCCTTTTGAACAAGTAAACCTGGTGATCTGGTACCGCTAAGGTTCACAATATGTTTCAGATATGTGCTACAGAAAATGTTTCCAATTACATGAGGATGGATAAATCAGGGTATCTGTTGTTACTTACCAAAAGTTAGAAATGGGATTTGTAAGATATTTTCTTTGTAACTTCACCCACTGGCAGTGCTTAATGCAAAGCGGATATCTTTTATAAATCTCTGAAATGAATGCTTGTTCCAAATGGTCCCCTTGTCAAATATATTCATATCCTTTGAAATATTAAGTAAGAACTATGATTCTAAAACCATAATGGAAAGGAAGAGTGTTCATGGTACCTAATCAATCACTCGTTTTGTTCCAGCCCAACTTGGTTGCAGTAGTTGTACTATTTGTAGGTGCTACTATTTATTTGTTTATTGCCATTGGAAACCTCCAGCTGACCCTGTCAGGGAAATCCAAAATGGGATCACTTACCAACAACACACTGGAAAATGAATGGAAATCCAGCTGTTCTGAAATAGAGCATGTATCCCAAATGTATCCCAAATTTACTTTTAACATCATGATTTATAAAGTTTTATTTCATTTATCTTGACTATTTCAAATGCTAGCGGACATTTTTTAAAGAACACACACTGTATACAGACTGTCTCAGCTCCACAATTCCTTATGGACGCATTATGATTGAATTTGGCAACTTGAACGCACTTATATGGATGGAAGCCAGGTCTTGAACAAACCAGTGTAATGGCCTATGCGCACAACATAAAGCCGGCTGGTAAAAAAAAAATAAGATCAAAGCTTTCTTGCATCAAAACAGAATGTGTTTCAAGGTTTCAAATGCTAGACTGTCAGCCAGAGCAGAAAAATTAAAAGCAGGATTTAAGCTGGGTTGGAAAACAGAGCACAAAAGGAAGTATCAAGAGCATAAAAACTACCTGGTCAATATTAACAAGTGAACACTGAATTAGAAAATTCCACTGGCAGTCACTCCCATGTTGATCTCATCGCTGCTGCAAACACGAGAAATCAATCAATAATACTTTTTTCATGTCAGACTGTGACATGATTTGAAATTGATTTTCTTTTGGAGGTCAATGACTCAAAATAAAGTTTGATTGTCATTGCAGATCTATTTTATGTTTTTAAAATAAAGCTTTCCCCTACGACTGAATGTTTTCAGATATTTTATGTGCCAGTGGCAGCAAATGTGTGTGTATAATATGCGCATCAACCACTCACAAATAAGTAAGATTTATGCTTTATTCATAAATTGCAAATTGCCAGGCTGGGCAATAATAGGTACTCTCTTGTGGCTGTCCAACATGGTTTTTTAAATTTTATTTTCATATGTAATATTCTCAATTAGTTCCTGACATTGAAAAATAGATCAATTATGCTTGTAAAATAAAGTATGTAAATTGTCTTTAACTTTTTTGAAAATCAAATTACTTTCTTCTTTTTCACTTCTATGACAGTTATTATATTTTCAAATGTCATTGTGTTTTTTCTTTGTACAATGGCAACTAAGGAGTTCTTATTCCATATTAAAATGTACTAAACCCAATGGGGAACCATGCAGAGTATTAAACTAAATGGGTAAAAAAAAAAGGATCATGGGAACACATGGCCTACAGTTGTATGATTTTTAAGAAAATAAAACATATTCTTTTTTTTCTGTTATATACTAGCTAAGCTGGAAAACCCCAAGAGAAACAAGGTTGCCTGAGCAGAGAGCAAACAAAAAAAGCAGAATAAAAAGATAAAATCATCTGGCTTATCTGTAAACAATTGATCTCATTGTTATTGAACCTTGTTTTAAAGTACAACATAGTAAATCTGTGACTCAGGAGATATTTGTGTGAAAGCACATTTCAAGATTAGAACATTGAGACTTTGGCAAGGCTGTCAGGATGAGCAAACGCAACTGAAAAGTTGGAAAAAAAAACATCACTCAGGGTTCCTTGCATTTCACAAATGTTTTGATAATGATTAATAATGACAAATACTCTAATCTCCATGTTTTCAACAACCCAACTATGACACATCATACATACCACATTTAACTTAAGGATGGAGGAGGAGGGCAAATGTTTATTTTGTAACATCTTTACTGCTAAGAGTTATTCATCTGATGTGTTAGTTCTTTGTAGTATTAGGAGGGGAAAAATCCAGAACCGGTTATCTAAGTAAATCATTTAGGGTTTTTCCTTGTATTGTGTAACAAGTTGAAGGACCCACTTTGTACAGAAAGAAGAGGGTAAAAAGTCTTAACAGAGTCAGCTTTCACTGTTCTCACTTGTGATGGTATCAGGTGTACTTTGAACAGGGTTGTGTTTGGTTACAACCAGCCCTGCACAGGATGGGTGGGGTAATGTGATGTGTGCTAGCACACCCAAGGTGAGGTCTCCTGTTGTGACTCGTGCTCAGGCAAACAACGGGCTTGAATGGAATCTTAGCAGAAGATCGGCAGAGGCTCTACAGTCAGGGATTAGCCACTCATTGGATATAACGGATTTAACATTCATAAAATTACAATGGATACTAGTAGCGACACCACAAAAATCCTTGAGAAGGGTCCTGAATACCTTCGAAAGCAGATGGAACGGGAGAGTGAGACAAAAGGACGCATGAGCGCTGTGGAGAGACTCGCCGCAAGCAAGCCAAAATACGTCAAGAGCCAACAAGTGGTGAACTCAAACCAGGAGCCTGTGGTTAGTCTTGGTTCTGCCTCTGTGAGCAGTGCTGGGTCCTCAAGTAAGAATCTCATCTCAGAGAGTAAGTCAAAAGTATGCTCTCAAGCACGAGGGACCAGCTCAAAGAAACGACCAGATTCTCTTCTGCTTTACAGACAGAAATGTGACTTACTCAGAGGGTCAGCCAATGCCCGGAAGCACAACATAACTCGTAAGGCGCTGCTCAATTTTATGAATAAAAATGTTTCACTATCTGAGGCCACAGAGAAGGAATGCGAGTCTCAGGACAAGAAGGAAAAAATCACCACACCTGAGGGAACAGCAAAGGAATGTGGCTCGCATGTTGTTATCATTCAGTCAGATGACTGGTCAAACGGAGGTGCAAAAGAGGGCAGCGCCAAAGGCAGCGATTCTGGGACTAAGTTGACAGCTGGTGGTCTCCTTGCAGTTCCTCAGATTGAAAGGTCTGGCAAGGGGGTCAGTCGTTCTCACTCTGACATCAGTTCCAGGTACTCCAAAAATTTTGCAGACTTTGATGCATTTTTCAAGTACTGTGGCTTGGATGGCGAGATCATTGAGTCTTTGGGGAAGAAGAACTTCTCAGTAGAGTCTGGTGACATTAACGTTCGGAGCTTCAGCACATCCACATCAGACGATGGCTTCTCAAGGAACAGTGGTGACAGCGACGGGCTGCTAGAGGATGAGTTACATAAAAAGAGAGGCCAGGGAACATCAGTTATTGAGCGCAATGCACGGATTATCAAATGGCTTTACAGCTGCAAAAATGCAACAGAAACTGGAAAAAAGTTACGAGACCTTAATTGACTTTCTCTATCATGACAACCATTGACTTTGTACCATATAGAATACCTCTGTTTGTGCTTTCTGCTATTCTTATGTGTTATGTTGATTCATTCCAAAACTGAGTATGTGAGCCCAAGCTGAAATCTCTGAACACAAGTGAGGGGTTGAAGCCTCTGTTCAAGCTTGCCCCAAGCTACCTGAATGTTGGCTTATTCATGTCGGGGCTAGATTAGACACGTGGATGGATCGTTGCAAACCATCCAGTAACAAGTTGTTGTTTTAGTAACATTTTCTACTAGAACATTTATATTGTTGTGTTTTATTTCTTAACTATTTGCATTTAATATAATTCAAACATATTATATTAAAGGTAATAATACCGTAAAATGTTCGACTTGATTGGGTCAACACGTATCCACTCCTGAAGATAGAAATAGTGAAACACATTTCTAGAGAAGGTATAAACAGGCCTAAACTGCCAATGGAAACTGATAACCATGCAAAACAGACATTAATTTAACTGTTATCTAACTATTAATCTAACCATTATGAAACCTACAATTAAAGGATGTGAATCCTAAAATGATGCTCTTTTAACTGTTTGTTGAAGTGTTATGACTTCCGTCATGAACATTCCTGGTTCTGAAACTACCTTTCAGAGCCTGAGAGCTAAGATACCGCAGTTCCTGGCTTGGTTTCCACAACAATGGTGGGTTTACAGTTGTGTGGTGTTGTTAGGCTTCAGTATATAAAAAAAAGGAATGATCTTGATATTATTTTCTAGAACTGTGTATGAGCAAGGCATTTCTAACATTCTAGTTGTGTCAGAATCACTGAAAGTATTAGTTTATACGGGGTTTCAGGTGACTAGAAACCTGGTACTGGTGCTAGAAATAGCATAACAATACTGTTATGGCATTGCTAGCACAATAATGAAATTGTTTCAAATGAAATATGTGTTACATTGACAAATATACGAGCAGACATATTTAGGAATACAGAGGGAAGCTTGAATTAAGCATTTGGAGCCTTAGGGGGGCAGTATCCAACCACAAGATTGAGTCCAGCTATCTGTGCTAAAATCCTGGCACAACATATGATGAAAAATGATTAAGCCAGAAAAGCTTCTCACACAGTAGTTTGAATAAACATTTGAAATAAAAAAATCTATTCAAACTTACAATACAGAGCCATTTTTTAAAAGTTTATTTCCATTAAAGATATTTATATTTTGTACCTTCTTTAACTGAAAGATATACATTTTATGGGAGATTTGAATGATCTAAGTAAATTATTTTACAGCTAATATCTATTATTAGGCAAATTATCATAGAAAAAATCCTGGAAGAAACTTGCATAAATGATCATTTTAAACTTTTAACTTATTATTATGATGCCACTGTGTATTACTATTTTGACATATGTTTTACTCACAATACTCACTGTGTTGTGTTATATATATATATGTGTAGTTTATGCTACTTTGATACTATACATCAAAATGAATACTTTTAGATATGTTTATGACTTATATCGTGTTAAGGAACTAAAAAAACAGCAGCAAACAGTTATTGCCAAACCTGAAAAAGAACATGAATCAAAATAGGGTTTATATATTAGTACGCAAACACTATTAGGTCATCAGTAAAGTGCGTCAATATGTAGCACAATGCTATTAACACAAGAAAATAATATAGAGATTAATTTTAGCCATGATCATCATTATCTATTTTACATATTTGACAAACAAGCGGTGGAAATCGTGTTTGCAAATACACATGTTTTAGAGCTCTCCTGTTCGGAACCTCACATCTTACACAAATAACTATAAAACTGTTAAATTGGTTATAGTTTTGTTGTCTTTAAATAAATAGTATACATGTTAAAGACTTCCTCATTCAGTTGTACATTGATCGTGTTCCCATCCCCCGCCGCAAAATAAAAACACAAGTACATGTGCGCAATCTTCCGTCACGTGTGAAGAGAAAGCATCAACAAAACAGAAGATCAGCACAAATGAATGACAGTAGATGTGATCCAATCAGCGACACGATTCCGGGTAGCAACACGGTAAATACAGGCATTTCATCCAATCAGAGAAGAGCAACATGGTACATGGATGAAACGCAGCGTATACTTCCGTCAATATTTGCAGCAAGGCAGGCTATAGAGGGGAGAAGCAGAAGCACAGGCAAGCAAAACTACAAAGGAGTCGCTTCATTGTCAAGGTTTGTTTTACTATATTTTTCATATCCCCTGCTGTTTTATGACTTACTTTAAATGTCCAGATTTTCAGTAGCGTATTTTTTTCCGTTGAGCAGACTGACATCCCTCATTATTCTCAGCCGTTGAACGTTAAATCGGTTTCTAGCACCGTGTTGTAACCGTGCAAATGACCGGGATAAACAAATGCGTCACCGTCCTGTCTGGATGTCTTCTTAAACGCTTTTGTACAGAATCAAGTATTCCATTGTTAGACCTGTTAACATCGTCTGCATTGCCTCAAAATTTCAAAAGGTTGAGGCTCTGTTGGCTTTTATATGCAGGTCTGAGGAAAAGGCCATCATTTTTTATTTCCTCTTATAGATGCCGCTATACACTCAGAATTACAGTTCATGTCGGCCTACTGAAGTCGCGGTCCAATATTTTTACTTGTCTCCAGTATGGAGAATTGCCAACAGAATAAATTATGCCATTTGAAAAGCGTGTTCGTGCTTGGATACAAGTGTATACAAGTGTTAAGGTCATTTGAACTTGATCCTACACAGAAACAATTCTTAATTGATTCTGTGAAGGAACGGTTGTCGGAATTTCCCTTTTCTAACCTCGAATTTTGATATTTGTTATTCTCCATGGTTTTTTACCTATACCTTAAGAGGTAGAGAGACACAACTTACCCAGGGCCTTTTAAAAGCTATAGGATAGTGTACTCTTATTTATTTCAGTGTTTGTCTACCAGATTCAAATATGAATATCTGTACTTGCCTCCGAATGATCCCCAGAACAAAAATAAAGCTCTTTTTTTTTATTAACTCTACAGGTGTTTGAGGTTGAAGCGGCCCTTTCGTCTCACTGTCCTCCCTTCCCCAGCTATAATGCCTTTCTTGGGCAAAGATTGGAGGTCACCAGGATGGAGTTGGACTAAGACAGAGCAAGGCTGGAAAAGGATTGTGTTTTTTGGAAATGACTTAGAGGACAACAACAGAGAGATAGATCTAAAAGAGTAAGTACAAACTGTACATTGACTTATTTGTTAAAATGGTCTGCGTGGATGCCTTTTTGTAAGACATGTTTGTTGAGCATGCTACCAATGCAAGCACAGAAGAGTTACAAGGTTGGCCACAGGGAGAGCTTTCACAAGAAAAAAAAAAAAGCCTATAAGTATTCCACAAGAATTTTTTCCCCCCCATCGTTAAACTAAACACAGTATCCCTCTGATAGGAAATTAAATGGTTAGTGATGTGTAGCACAGAGTTGATCTGTTATGACTGCGTTGTCAATCTGTGAAACCCTCAGACCACCGGCTGCTTTGACTCGTAATTTCATATTACTTTGTAATACGAGTCATAAATTCATGTTGATTGCTGTCATCGATACATTTCTCGGTGCCACAGTTAGTCCCTGGCTGCAAATTAAAGCTCCCTAAGGATAAAAATGAAATTTGCAACTGTTCAATGGTTATAAAGTATTCTATTGACCTCTGGAGAGATGCTTGACTGACCACGGAAAAGGGATCTAGTGTTTCTGGACTCAACTGAACTCCACTGATTAGGCAAAAATGACTCTGTATTACAGAGAATCATCCACTCTGAGGACCACAGAAAACACTCATTAATAAGATTATTTCCATCCCATAGTTTGAGTTTGTTGTTGCAGAGGAGTTGTCAGGCAAACGACACAATTTAGTACAAAGAGATGGGGCATGTGGGAGATTTAACATGAGAACCAAACGGTCTGTGTTTCCTGTTAGAGCAAAGCTTCAATGTAATCGAGGAACTTCCAATCGAGGAAGTGGAAGTGTGTTGAACAACAGGTTTGTCTCTGAGTGGCAGATCCGCTGAAATTAGGTTGTTTTTCCTGTTGTTGACATGAGTCAGCAAACCCCTGTGAATCATCCCCTCATAGCTTTACACCTATGCAGACTGAGTGAAGTATGTATCTTGGCTCGTTGTTAAACAAATCTAAGCAATTGCTATAGATATTGTTATGGAAAAAATTCTTTAAAAGAGTGAGGCAAAGTTTCCTAATAATTAGAGAAGATCGATCTTGTCCAATAAAGAGATTTATTCGAAGGCCAGAGCGTTCGAAGACGCAGGTCACAGAGAAAACTCAAGTGAATGCGCGCCTGAACAGAAGGCACGTCCCCTTTTATAACTTCACTGTGTTTCTTATCAGCAACAAACAAAGAGATTCTAATTTACATTCAGTCCTCAGGAGGTCCTTTGGAGAATCTCCAAAGGGACAGTGATATGCATATTCTCAGGAGACAGGAAAGGGCCCCCATGTGGATTGGTCAAAAGGAAAACCTTCTCAGGTGTGAGGGTTTCACAAAGGGCAAGTAGTACAATTTCAATGATAAACAGGAATGGGAGATTCATTCTTGATGAGATTAAGGAAATTGTTGCATTTCTTAGTGGTGGTAAAACCAGTCTTCAGACGTGTGAGACGACTCTCCCTAAGGCAATCAACAACAGTAGCTTTAACAAAGAAACAAAAGAAAATTCTCCACGACACTCCCTCCTTTTGATTATCAGATAATCATACAAAACATGGATATGAAAAGAAACATTACTACACAAAGAAAAACCCATAACAAAATCAACAGATGGCCCTGTAAATACATTAAAACCAGTGTATCATAAAAGGGTCATCCTTAATCAGTAAAGAATCTGTTCATAAGGTGGGATAACAGAGTGGGAGAATATGAAAGTTCAACCCATGGGGCTTTGAGGGGTTAATGTCAATGATGTTGCTGGCAAATCTTCTCTTCCTTGCGTTGATTGGTGTCTTCAGCTAATGGG